GAAGCTCCCACTCAGAGGAACAACACAAAAAGAACAAATTTAATATGGCGAAGACACAATTTACAGGGCAAAGACCAGCGCACTTTGGAAGTGAGAAAAGGGAACCGGTTACATTGCTTTATACATACACAACACTCCTCCACACTTACATAAAGGAACACTAGTACACCAGTCTATTTGGAGGGCGTCGAGCTCTGCTTGACCGTCCAACTTCCTGAGCTGCTAGGCCACTGTCAGCAATCAGTGGCATAGGCACCTCACATTCGCCCGGTTCATCAACACTCTCACTATCACTCGATCCACTCTCCGAAGAGGCTGATCGGGACGAGCCCTCACTTCGAAAGCGCAAGTGATCAGCATGCACATAACGAATCTGGTTAGCCACCCGCACCAGGTATGTAACCGTTCTGATTACTTTCTTTAAAATTCCTTTAGTCCAGTTTACTCTCTCCCCCTCACATTTCTAACCCAAACTCTGACGCCCACTTGAAAGAGTTTCGTTGGCCCTCTGCGCTTGTCAGCCAGCTCCTTTTTCTTGTTTTGCTTCTCTCGCCGTGGAAGGGACGTTGCACATGGCTTGAGCTGCGACAGTCGGGTCCGCGGAAGCCGTCCCCGGAACAGCTCTGCAGGGGCCTTTCCAGTACTTGTGTGTGGTGTCGTCCGGTAGGCAAGTAGGAAACACGACAACTTCTCCTGGATATTCCGCCTCTTCCCTCGGAGGTCGTCTTCAAGTACTTGCTTGAGCAGCGCTCGCTTGATTGTTTGCACAGCCTTCTCCGCGGCGCCATTCGAAGCCGGGTGGTAGGGTGGCGTCATGGTGTGCACCACTCCTTGATCCTTCAAGAAGTTCTTGAACTCCTCGCTTCGAAACTGGGGGCCTCCATCAGTCACCACTTCTTCGGGTAGTCCAAACTGTGCGAAGACAGCCATAAGTTTCTCGACTGTCTGGGGTGCGGTTGTGGAAGACATGCCCAGGACCTCAACCCATTTAGAAAAACTGTCAACCAAAACAAACATGTTGGTTCCCGACTTGGTTGCAAAGTCCAAATGAATACGTTCGAAGACCCGCGAGGTCATCTTCCATGGCTGGAGTGGTACTGGAAGAACGTCGTTTTGGACCGCTTGGCAGATCTCGCATGACTGCACCTTGTTCTCGATCATGGCGTCGATTCCGGGCCACCACACATGCCCTCTCGCACGTTGTTTCATACGCACCATTCCTGGATGTTCTTCACGCAGGCTCTTGAGGACCGCAGCCTGTAGTGCCTGTGGAATCACGACTCTAATCCTCCACAATAGGCAGCCTTCTGACAGCGTCTCCCGCCTCTGCCAGAAGGGATGCAACCCTGGATCTTGCACGGATGTTGGTCAACCACTCTTGGTGTGTTCAAGGACACGTTGCAGCAATGGGTCGCTGAGGGTCTCTTTCCCCACATTGGAACTTGAATGAAGCGGTTGCTCTGTGGGTGAAAAATATTTCAACGTACTTTCCTCTCCCACAGTTTTCTTCAGAGGAAGGCTCGATAAGGCATCAGCATCCCCGAGCTCCCCGCCCTTGCGGTACAGGATCTTGAGGTTGTACTCTGCAAGTAACAAGCGCCAACTCTGGATCCTCGCAGCAGCTATGGCTGTTGTAGAATACTTAGGTCCCAGGATCGACGTTAGCGGGTAGTGGTCAGTTACCAGGGTGAACGAACACCCAAAGAGATACCGGTGGAATTTCTTGACCGCAAATATGAGTGCCAAGGCCTCTCTTTCCATTTGTGCGTAGTTCTTTTCAGCCACAGTAAGCGTCCTAGACGCAAACTCCACTGGTCTGTAGTCCCCGTTTCCCATGTCTTGTGTTAAGGCTGCTCCGAAGCCGTGGCTAGATGCGTCGGCCGTCACTCGAAGTGGTAGACTAGGGTCGTAGAGGAGAGTCACCCCAGCACTGCACAATTTTATCTTTGCTTCTGTCTACAGCCTGCTGGCATACTTCTGACCAATGCCACTTCTTGTCATTCTTTAAGAGTTCATACAAAGGTCCCAGTGTGGCAGCTAAGTCTGGGAGGAAACGAGCATAAAAAGCTAGCAGCCCCACAAACGCCTTAACAAACGTCACGTTCTTGGTGCCGTTTGTTAAGGCTTTTCTGATAGCCTTAACAAACGGCACCAAGAACGTGACCTTTCTGATAGCCTCTATGTTCTCAGGGCATGGCTTCAAACCCTGGTCACTCAACAAGTAACTCAAGTAACGCACTTCGCGTACAAAAAATTTACACTTCTCCTGATTCACACAAAGTCCATGTTCCTGAAAACGTTTCAACACTTGCAAGACTCTCTGATTGCAGTCATTTTGGTCTACGCCACACACCAGTACATCATCAAGATAGCACGCTACCTTGGTTTGGCCCGACAAAATCTTATCCATTACACTGTGGAAAATTGCTGGTGCGCTCGAGACCCCGTAAGGCATACGTAAAAACTGAAACAATCCTAGGTGAGTGGTCACTGTGAGCAGTTTCCGCGACGCTTCGTCAAGGGCTAACTGCAAGTATGCAGTCTTTAGGTCCAAAATAGCAAAGATGCCACACCCCCGAAAGTTGTTGAACACCTCATCTACCCTCGGTAATGGGTAGTGATCCACCATCGCCTGTGGGTTTACGGACATACTGTAGTCACCACAGATGCAAACTTTACCCCCTGGCTTAGGAACCACAACAAGGGGTGTTGCCTATTCACTACTTTTTACAGGCCTCAGAATGTCTTGCGCCACCATTTTCTCAAGTTCACTCTCTACTTGCTCTCTGAATGCGTATGGCACCACTCTCTGTTTACAAAACACAGGTTGAGAGTTTTCTTTCTGTACAATCCTTGCCTGAAAACCCTTTATCGGCCCCACAGGACCTTCAAAGACGCTAGGGAACGACCTTTTCAGTGAGTCTGTCATCGTCTCGTTCTCGATACGACCCACGCCCGTCCAGTGAATTTCTAACTGCTCGATCCAGTCTCTGCCTAGAAGAGCTGGCAGCTGGGCATTCGCGGATTTTACCACAATCAAAGGTAACTTTTCGCCTCGGAGCTCCCCGTTTTTTGACATTAACGCTCGCTGTACCCCTGATTGGCACTAGAGCCCCGGTGTACGTTCGGAGACGCATGTCACTCGCCTCAAGGGACACGTGAGAAAACAAATTCACATACATTCTTTCTGGCAACAAAGTAACAGCTGAACCAGTGTCGATTTCCATCGTAACCGGTTTTCCTTCGATTTCTAATACCTTTGGAATGCCGCAGACGCGTCATTGTTCCGCATACAGGTTACGCTCCAAGGCCCGCGCTTGGTGCTCGAAGTAGGCTTAGTCTTGACCCTACACACCGCCTTAGTTTGCCCCTGCTTCCCACATTCGAAACACTTTGCTTTCAAAAACGGACACTTCGCGGAAGCATGCATGGTACTAGCGCATCTAAAACAAGGGCCTACCGTACGCTGATACTGGACCTGTGGCGACGCAGTGGCGGAAGGTGGACACCTGGAGTGTCCTTCACCATCACCTTGAACGCGGTGCACGTCCATTGAGTCCGGAACGCCCGGCAGTCGTATTTCGTCCGTTTTGCGCAGAGAAAGTTCATTGGCCAGGCCCACCTTCAGAACTTCGTCGAAGTAATCGTCGTCGAGCTGGATGAGTGTCCGCTGTACCTCAGGGTCGCGACACCCCGCCACGAGCCGGTCCCGAAGTACCTGGTCGAGATAGTCCTTGAACGCGCATGTCTGGGCGAGCTTCTTGATAGCCAAGGAGAAGTCCGCTAGGCTCTCCCCGACCTCTTGATTTCTCCAATGGAACTTCGTGCGCTCTGCAATCACTAAGCGCTTGGGCGCGTAGTGGCGTTTCAGCACCTCGGAAAGTACGTCGTACATTTCGATACCGGCGAGTCTGGGACGAGCAAGGTTTTCAGAACCTGGTACGACGCTTTCCCGATGTAGTTCAGCAGCGTCACCGCCTTGTCTTCCGTCTTGACAGCGTTCACTCGAAGGGAAATCTCGAGGCGTTCGAGATACTCGTCGACGTCGTCCTCTTCCGGCTTGAACTCCGTGAACTTCGGCATTGTGCTGTTTGCCACGTTGTTACTCGGTTCGTTTGATCTTCCATCCCATCCTCGTCGCCATTGTTCTGTCGCACCAAGACGCCAAAGAACAGAAGCTGCCACTCAGAGGAACAGCACACAAAGAACAAATTTAATATGGCGAAGACACATTTTATAGGGCAAAGACCAGCGCACCCTGGTGGTGAGAATGGGAACCTGTTACATATCTTTATACATACACAACAGTCCAGAACGATTTTTTGATGATTTTGAGAAAAAAGACATAGCTATACTTTTCTCTATAAACAAATTAAACCAGCTTTTATTATTCATTTTTTTACTCCGCAGGTTTTGTGTATTCATACTCTCAATTATTGAATGCACCACCTTCGAGCACCCCTGTAGCAAATCTCGGCGCGATAAGGTGAGAAACCGATTTTGCGTTTAGTTTAAAGTGTGTTCAATCCATTCCGTCTACGCTGTAGATTCCGCTCTTCTATATGCACATGGCAGTGGAATTCTCGTAAAGGAGGGGGGTTCAATGAGTCATTACTCGCAAAATAACCAACCTAACGTTGACCCTATTGTTCATCCTTGTTTGTGACGAAGAGCCTACACGTCAGATCAGATTTTCGCTAAAAAAGGTAGGCTTTATATTTCTTAGTTTTATTGCACCATACTCCCTTTGACTACTCAAAAACATATCACACTTTGACCATATTATTTGGTGATAGCATCGTGAGGGCTGACACCCGCGTTTTATGAAATCATAAGCTTTGTGATAGCAAAAATCAAAGCTCGAATAAAAATTTAAAAAAAAATCTGGAGAGTATCTAATGATTAGTCTTGTAACATTGTACTCGACGCTCAAGACTTCATATGGAGTCAGACCTTTTGTTGTAATCTTAATTTAAATACAGCATTCTATTGTTCAATAGGAGGAGATTCGGTGCCTTCGGGACAAGGTGGCAGAAGCGAAAGGTGGCCCTATGACGATACGGTCCTTGCTCATTTCCTGCGTGGTCAACGTCATCGCTGAGATGGTGCTGGGTAGCCGTTTCGAGTTCAACGACCCAAAGCTAGCAGAACTGGAGCAACACTTGGATACTTTCGCTAAGCTGATCTCTGGCGTCACCCCTGTGAACCCGCTACCTAAATGTCTCAAATGGATATCCGCGTATATCCCCGTTCTTGGAGGCAACAAAGGCCTGGAATTGGCACGAGATCTCACCAATTTCTTTAGGTACAGGTCACTTAGAGAGTTGGACGAGCGCCTTGAAGATTATCATAATATAATGAAAGCTAAACAAAACAGGAAAACCTTTACATTCCTCTCGTTGTTCCTCTTTTCTTTGTTTAGCCTTTAATATATTAAAATTACTTATGTTTTTTAAATGTTCTAAGCCAAAGACGCGATGACAAATTTTAAGCATCTTTTTAATATAGTTTTGCGGAAGTCGAGAATTAAGACTGCTCGTGCGGTAACGCAACGTGCATTTATTCCCTCAAAGGTAATGTCTCCATTATAAATAGAGAGCAGTTCTTACAGCTTAGTAATTCCATGCCTAAGGAGACGCGGTAATTTTTTTATGTCTGGTATATATATGAAGAAAAAAAATATTTTGAATAAAGAAGCTTCTGAACTCTAAGAAAAATAATTGTTTTTGGTGAAAAAATACATTTTAATTTTGCTAATAATGTCACGAAATACAAATTATGAGGCTTCGAATAAGTAAAAAAACTAAACGTTTAATGGGGCGAACTTGTGCCCAAAAGAAAATGGAGAAATACTAGCGTCGCAGGCGTCGATGTCGGCGAAACAGCAGGATCGAGCGCTGGGGCGAGACTGACCCCGGCTCGCCACGCGGAGCACCCTTTGCACCGCCGTGGGCTTCTGGAACATTCGGCTTAGAATGTTCGGCGCGTAGAACATTCTAACCTCGATTCAGCAACGCGTTTCCCGAATTTACCAGAAAATTGCATTACAGAGTCAACAAAAATAGGTACCCGCAGCCAGGCACCGAACCTTGGATTTTGTGTGGAATGCACGCGTGATAACCTTTAGGCCACAAGCGCGCTGCCTACGTGGTCAGCTGCGCGCGCGGCAATATCATGCTCTCTATTTCCGAAATTTTCATAAAACCCGTGTAATTAAAAAAACTTTCTGAAAAAACGGTTTGTACCACAAAGATATAAGTGGGCGCCTCTAAACTTAATAGCATGCCCTATCTGACAGTAAATTACAAACATTTAACGGCACCATTTTCAGTTCATACAAGAGCTTAAGAAAAAGAAGAAACATTTTGAGACTTCTTTACTTTTTTTGTCAACTTAAATTAGGCTGCTAGATACAATACCTTTTTCGTTTGTTCTTATAGCAGTAGTAATTGAATTGCACGTGTTAACTTTTCAAAGCCTCGTTTTGAAACGTTTTAATTAAATGAAAAATTGCCCAGTTTATGCATAAACGGCTTTAGTGAGAGCCAGAAAACGCTATGTAGGCATCGGGACCCGGAACTTACGAAACATCTGAAAGTTCAATCCACCTCATCAGTTTAACATATGCTTATACAAAAAAAGCAACTTTTGTTATTGCTGAAGAATTGGATTTTTTTCTATTAGTTTTTCTTTTTTCGACCATGCATCCAGGCGCCCACTTCGTAGGCGACGCACGCCGGCGTTCTCCAGAAAGGCGTCAACGGTGTAAGACGCCGCCGCTAGGTCTTCAACTCTCTCCTAAAAACGCTCTTTATTCAGTTGAAGGGGACGTTATCTTGACATCCACGCATCGATATCCTATTTACCTTGCGTAATGATACTGGCGTCTTAATTTCACTCTACTGTACATGTAACTGCACAGGACAGCAGGCCTTCATCGTTCGCTTTCTGAGTTCGGAAATGCATATTACGAGTCCACCACGTCTGCCGTACATTCAGATGTAAAAACGATTCAGACCAGATATCTCTTCACCTATGCAAAATGATAACAGTGATGTCGCGTCACCATGTATTGAAGTTCGTTGGCGCATCCACCAAAGACACGCTGCCGAGACAGTGACGGCGTCATGAAAATGACTGCGTCACTCTTCTAAGCGTAATTGTGGACACGGTTTGTGGCAATCTTTTTGTGAGCCATATTGACATCGAGAATAAAAATGCGAAAACTGATCGATGAATATCTACAAGAAACTATTACCTTTCAGCAAATTCCGTAAGTTGCTGAGGCCTCTGATAGTAGTTGCCATCAATACTGGAATCACAAATCCATGAAACCAAAAACTAAAAAGGTAATCAAAATTTGTTTAATAAACTGATTTACCATGACGTGGTAAGGTGGTAAGCTGGGCGAGGTGGTATTGGCTGAACAAGATGAAATAATAGCGCACAAAAAGGCGAAGACAAGGACAGAAACGAAACGCAAAAGTGAGACAAGCACTAACTCGCAACCCAAAAGTATGTTACTTTGAAATGTGCGTATGTACATTTCACGTACATACATACGTACATACATGCATTCCTACGTACCAATATGTACGTAGGTACTTACTATTACGTTTATTACCTCAACTAACGTTCGTCGAGCCTGACACTCAAACGGCGAAGACGGCGCCCGTGCAACTCACACCTCTTATCAGATAGACTTCGTCTAAGAATTCTAGTGAGTTCAGAATTCGAGACATGTTCTGTTGGCCTCCAGTGTATTCCGGAGCTTAAAATACTGCACCTGTACGTCTCCTCAGGGGTGTGAGGCGTCCGCCGCAAAGATTGGAGTGTTTTTTTCAACATTACTCTGCATTTGGTAGCACAGGTTCTATCAAAATACATTTAAGTTCAATGGAGAAGCGACGTAACTGTTACTATTTCACATCGCTGAAATGTATCCGGTCTCAATTCTTCTTATATCCGGACATACGGCAGACGAGGCCAACGCGCAGTGTGCATTCCCAAAACTTAACTCGAGATGCAGACGATACAGACCTGCGTTCGTCGGAGTTACCTGGGCAGAAGCAGGGTAAAATAAGTCGCCACTCCCATTACGTAAGGTGAAAAGTATACGGATGAATGTATGCCGGGATAACATCGAGACCAAGCGAATAAAACGTTTCTTCAGGAGAGCATTGAAGACCTTGCGGTGGCATCTCACTCCTTTAACATCTCGTTGGCGAAAGCCAACGTGCATCGCCTACGAGCCGGGCGCCTATATTCATTGTCGGAAAGGCTCATATTAAAAAAAGAAATAATGTATCGGCAACAACAAAAATTACTTTTATAATTTTTTCTTTACGATGAACGAATTGACCTTTTGGTTATTTCGTAATTTTCCGGGCCCCGATGCCCACATTGATTCTTCTGGGTCTCAATAAGGGCATTTCTGCATAAACTGGAGATTTTGTCATTTAATTAAACCTCAACAAAATGAGGCATTGAAAATTGAACACGTGTAAATAAATTATTAGTTCTATGTGAACCAACCGAACAAGTATTGTAGCCTACACTCAAATTCAAGTTAACAAAAAAAGTCTCATAAAGCCATTTCTTTTTGGAGCTCCTATTTGGACTCAAAATGGTGTCTTTCAATGTTTGTATTTTACTCTAGTATAGGGAGGGCATGTTTTTAAGTAATTAGGCGCCCACCTAAATGTTTTGGTACGTAATCGTTTTTTCACTATGCTTTTCTTAACTTCACGGGCGTTATGCAAATTTCAGTAATTTCGAGGGTTATGTCGGCAAAAAAAAAAATTACTTAAAATAAAATAGAAATATTTCTTTCCGTTTTGAGGTTTTTTTATTTAAAGTTTTTTTTTTTACATATCCCAGACAGGAAAAGCATGCCGCGTCTCCTTTGGCGTGGAATAACTGAGCTGAACTGATAGAGAGAGGGAGACGATACCACGCTGGGACATAAGAACGCCGAGCTCTGTTTGGGAACGATTAGCGGGCAGACAACGCCGGACGCGGGCGTTCTGCGTTCTAACGCGTTCGCCGAGTGCAGTGGAGAGAAACGCAACTAGCTTTGCGTCTACCCACTAATCGTTCCATTCAGAGCGCGGCGTTCTTACGTCCCCTCTCCTCCTCTCCCTTACTTTCTCGGCGCATATATATGGCAGGGACAGATTTATGGACGAGATTTGGGGCATGACAGTACGATGTTATTTATATATATTTTTTTTAATTATGCGTGCTGGCTTTTGCTCACAGTCTTAGAAGGAAGGTAAACATTATTTTAATTGATAGCCAAAGGGGTCACGCTAAGTAATCGTTCCTTCACTCAGCCGTGAAGTCGCTCTCCGTTTGGAGACAGGGAAGTCAGACGCCAATCGACACTTCATTGATGGCTACCTTACACTGATAACGCAGCACCTTGGGCAACCCGATCTGAACATCAACAGTAAGTGTCATTTTTCGCCGTTTTAGAAGCTGAAAAGAACGAATTTAGGATCATGATAACCGAATTGCAACAGATTAGTGTTCAAAGTTTCAGCCCTGACCCTTGACAGAAAAGAAACTTCTCATTCTCCAATATATAAGATTGATCCAAATTGTATTTTGTTCTCTTCGAGGGTCATCTGCGAAGGGTGTGCTCTCCCGAGGCAGGGGAGCAAGGGGTTTAAACTTCAAATAAATATCGTATGTCTGTCATCCTGAGGAATCGACAAAAATATTCGGGACTTTTTTGTTTTTATTTTGCGTCTCCTCGCTTAAGTGAAGCATTTAAACCTTCTTAAGTGAAGCATTTAAACCTCCTTCAGTTTCTTGTTCCCAGTCTAAGAAATTTGGTGATTCGACTTTCCCGGAAAGCCATTGAGTGAGCTCATGGCTGCAATCTCCGAGAGATCTCGATGAATTACTGTGTTAAGAATACGTTTAAACCTAAAATATAATCTTCGCTGTAACAATTCACGGGCTTACATTACGCACAAGGACGCAAAGCACGCGTTTTGTTTTAAGCGAAAACATATTTTTAGCTTTGACAACGCGTGCAATATCTTGACCTTTCTGGCATGTGCCGTTACATTGTACTGCTTATTATCACACACAGTTGACACCCTTCATGGCAACATGCTCGATTTCTTCATTGCGGGAACGGCCAGCTCGGCAGCCACCATCTCGTGCATTATATACCACTGCGCTAACCAACCGGACACCCTTCAAGCCAAGATCTACGGAGAGATAGATAGGGTTGTTGGGTCCTGCAACACCCCGACGTGGGAAGACCACCAGGCTATGCCATACACAATGGCCGTGATATGGGAGATGCAGCGCTGGAAAACCCTCAATCCGTTCAACCTGCCAAGACTGTAAGACAACTACACCTGTTCTGGTACAGTCATGACTCGATTATATGGACACCTCCGTTTCCCTCAAAAATTGTGCATTATGTGAGTCGTTTATAATGACGACCCAAAAATCCATGTGTTTACCCAGTCTGTCTCCAAGATTTTGTAAATATACGGGGGTATATACAGTCATCTATCGTCAATGTAGACACGTCGTTCCCAAAATATATCGTTATTGATGCCTGACGTCCCTAATAATGGAACAAAAATGCATGTATATAGTCAGATCATCCCCTAAGCCTATGTCCATATAAAGGGCGTTTTTAATTGACAGGACACGGGGTTATAGTAAAGGGGTACATATTAACGAGATACGACTGCAAACACTGTGCTCTGACGAGCATATCAAGACCAACGCGAAACACGCAAGGGAGAGGACTATTGTTTGCGGGTGTTTCGTGCGAAAAGGTGAATTATTTATATTGTATCTCTGCCAAGCACTGTTATTATGTATGCAAGCTTGACACGTTATTTTGTTTATTTATTAGGACTACAATGTTGCCAATGCAGCACTAGTAATAACGGGAAAATCTGACATGAGCGGATATCAGTGATTGCTCAAAGTTGTACCGAAGTTGAAAGCGTATACATCAAACCATCAACTTAAATAACCAGTCTAGCTCGGCCTTTACGTCATTTTCATTTGAGATTCCAGGTTATGCACCAAGCGGGCTGCATAGCTAACGTAATACTCAAACTTTACCAGGATACGATGTACGATGATTTATTGCGATCTGAAAATCACAGTTTTATCAAAGCCTTTACTAATGTAAACAATGAAGATTATAACAGGTAATGACACAAGCATACTTCCTAAAGGAAAAACAAACAAAATGCGGTGTTCTCGTTTTGTATATATAACTAAAATTATGTTTTATTGTTTAAGACGAGCGCCATTTCATTAATATTTTGTAATGTAGTCGATGATAGAAGTTTTATGTCTCAAGTCCTAAAATGCAATGATTGCCGTATTTAAGTAGAACTTTTATGTGTTTATAAGCCAGCAAACAGTTCGGGATTGAAGATTAAATTATATTTATTGTCAAGCTCAATTCGTGTTTAGGTCCTGTAATGTTCATTTACCCGAAATATATTTGGTATTAGGAAGTCCCGTTAAAAGTGTCAGAACTTGAATAACCATCTAGCTCGACCTTTACGTCATTTTCATTTGAGATTCCAGGTAATGCAATAAGCGGGCTGCATAGCCAACGTAATACTCAAACTTTACCAGGATACGATGTACGATGATTTATTGCGATCTGAAAATCACAGTTCTATCAAAGCCTTTACTAATGTAAACAATGAACATTATACCAAATAATGACACAAGCATACTTCCTAAAGGAAGAACAAACAAAATGCGGTGTTCTTGTTTTGTTTATATAGCTAAAATTACGTTTTATTGTTTAAGACGAGCGTCATTTCATTAATATTTTGTCATGTAGTCGATGATAGAAGTTTTAAATCTCAAGTCCTAAAATGCAATGATTGCCGTATTTAAGTAGAATTTTTTATGTGTTTATAAGCCAGCAAACAGTTCGTGATTTAAGATTAAATTATATTTATTGTCAAGCTCAATTCGTGTCTAGGTCCGTTAATGTTGATTTACCCGAAATATATTTTGTATTGGGAAGTTCTGTTAAAGGCATTCCCCGCTTTGGAAGGTTAATAACTGGCGTTGGGTACAACATCCCCGTCGATAGGTTTATGTGACTCAGAAAGTTTTTTTTTTATCGATCTCACTGCGCAAACTGTGGTAGAGCTCAACGAACAGATTAAATAAATGCTGGCTGGCTACGCCCAAAACCGTATTCATTGTAAAAAGGTGTGCGTTTTATTTACAGGCTAATATACTGTGTAATTAGCTATAATTAATATCTTCGTTATCCGACACGACTTGGTAATAAGTGATAGGAGACTGTTATTGTGTTTGAATGACTGGTTACGTTGTATTTGTAACGTACCGTTGTCACGTTGCTCCGCTCCCATTGGGAACGCGGAATCTAGGTTCTCCTTTCGCGCCTCAAACTTATGACGTTGTCTTGCGCAATGGAACAGTTAATGCTCTCGCATTAAAAAGTGTACAAAAATATTACAATATAAACTGCTTTATTTTTGGCCTCTAATTTAAAGACATTTAAAACGATGTGTTAATTAGTTGAAATATTCGGCATACAAACCGTGGCAATTCCCAGACTTCGGGAAGCGAGTAATACGGGGGAAAAGTCTAAAAATATACGTTTAAATGTTTGAACACACCAACACATGATTATTTAGAGCGGCGCTAGCGGAATTTAAGTAACGCTCTCCTTTATAAAAAAAAAAAACAACTAAACCTATACATTTGTATGACGTTACAAAACCTTGAAGCCTGGTGTTTCCCAATTATTTGGAACAAGTTTCCACGCAAAGGAGTGTAAGGCATGCCCATTCTTAGTGATACTAAAATATTTAAACTTTTTTTTGCCTTTTTATTTAACGTTTGTCAGTAGGGTATAAATGTTTCTTTCCCACTTCTGACCGAGACAAACTCAGCACTTGATCGTTCACGAAAACGCACAAACTAAACATATCTGATTTATAAGCAATGGTATATTGGTTTGCAACAAGTCGAATTTGTTGGGTCGCTTTAAGACTTTTAGTATTATAAAGCACCCGAATACCTCGATTAAACAGAAAGAGGTCTCGCTTCCAAATGCTTATGAAGCGTACCAGCTCCCCCCGGAAAGAGCCGTGGGAGATGCTCTATTGACGTCCTGAGCAAAAACAATTACGCCTTAAAAGATATAGTACCTTACCATGAAAACAAATATGCACAAAATTCCTCGCAAGGCCTAGCAATAAAAAATAACCTTGCAATGGCGAATGCTTCAGCTTATTGTTTCAAGAATCAAGTAATTCCGGCAGTGAGTGCTCGGACTGAAGCCTTCCATTATCATATCTAAAAATATTGGAAAGAGGCCTCTCACTTCTGAATACATCAAATACCTTTATCTGTTTCAGAGCCGAGGAGGATGTCTCGTTGAATGGATACCGGATTCCCAAAGGAACCGTTGTCCTGGCCAACTTCTGGGCTGTTCACTTCGACCCCAAGTACTGGAAGAATCCCGAAGAATTTGACCCCTACCGGTTTCTGACGCATGACGAATCCGCACTCCTTTCGAAGCCAGAATATCTCCTTACTTTTTCAATCGGTGCGTACTTTTAGGTCGAAGTAACTAAGGACCGGCTCGCTTGGGTCTTTACGGTCTTTGTTTAGTTACACGTAAAGGCACTGCGCCGTGGCAGTATTAATGCGCAAAACGAATATTTTTTGTTCGTACTTGTGCTTCTTGCAGAATACATTCAAGAAAGGCTGCTTGGTAACCACCAAAGACTTTCCAATAGCAAAAGGAAAGGATTGAGCGTGTGAAAAAGAAAGGACAAAAAGATATTAAGACTTCACGCTTGATAGATCAGTCCTGATAGCATTCGTTAAGTTCAAAAGGTATTTGTCGTACGATAAACAAGAGGGATCTCTAGACTGGGAAGAGAGATGTCCTTATTTGATGTTCTGTCTAATGATTTTCCAAGTTTGTTCAGATATTCATAAATGGACCACATGACTTCGTAAATCATACTGAGAGCTCGGATTTACTTGCTGAATTATAAAGTTCGTTCCTACTAGCTAATGGCCTGTCCGAAATAGCACACTTCAGAAATCGTAGGGCGTCACGACTCCGTCAAAAATCGAGGAAGTTGAAGCGTCCGGCAGTCCGATGTCTGTTTGAACACCACCAGCAAACATCACAATTTTCCTCCTCGCGTCCTTCACTTTTCAGTGGCCTCGGTGCTTGTCAGAATGGACATCGCACTCCACATGCCGATGCTTTACATGGTTTCTAACGGACCCTCGTTACCTTGGCCGTGCACCTCCAGTAAAAAAAAAAAATTATATTTATAACAAATGTCTAGCGGAGTTTACTTTGTTGCGGTTTATTGGGGTTTATTGTTGTTGCATTCCCTATTCTTTAAAAATTAGTTTACTTTATTGCGTGAAATAAAATTCAAATGCAAAATATTTAAGGTTGGGGTACTTTAACCCGTTGCCTCGAAGGAACCTCGAAGTACTAAAGGACGAGCCCCTTTTGTCAGTACGTCTTGATTTCGAAGGAAACAGAAGTGGAATCTCCTCAGGGCCAGTGATCTTCAGCTCCTATAAAGTTTAGTTGTAAACCTCCATTTTTTTTTTTTTTTTTGCTGTTTACGTTGTCGCTGTGACCTTGAAATGCGGAAATTTTCGGGTAAATCCGAATTGACGAAAAATTTACCAGCGAGTGTTTTAAGATTTTCTTAAATTTATCCCAAAGCACGGAACCCTAATTATAACCTGGACATCCCGTACTTCCTAAACTGTGTAGAAGATGCAATCACTGAACACAGACTATGCGAGTTCCAAAATTCCTCCAGAGTGCCACTTGTCGGATTCATCGAACTTCTTCAGCTATAAATCAAATCTACGATGATTGAACATGAAGTATTGATCTGGCTTCAAAAATTCGGTGCATGCATAGGGTCGTGCCTTGCGCCAGTTTCAAGTGAAATCTATTTGTCGCGCGTAGACCGGGCCGTCGGGGAAAACCTAAAGAGCACAGCCCCCAGTGTGAAGTCTTCCGCAACGTAGACTACTATATCATTGCCCAGCCTGAAACTACAAAAAGTAGAGGCCATTCTGGCTTCTTTTTACCAAGGAGGAGAAAATCTCAGTTTTCGGCCCGACGACTGGCCAAGATGATGCGAGGTGTTTGCTGGACTTTCCAACAGCGCTCGAAAAAGCCGGCATTCTCGTTTAAAAGTGCCATTCCAAGTCGGTTAAACTTGGGGCGATCAAGGCCCTACTCATCTCGGAAAGAGCTAAATCATGTGGGTATTCAGCAACCGAAAGCATCAACACCCAAGCTCAACGGCTTCTGATTTCAGGATATCTAGTGGAACGGATCGCCTCCTATTTTCACCAAGTTATCACACCAAGAACCACCAGGAACCCCCCTCCCTCCCCCCTCCCCCACCTGCACGACAAAGGATCATCACTCTCACAACGCATGCCATCGCATCCGATCAGTCACCACCCGCTTTTACTCGAAAGTCGTCTTAACCTGCACATTAACACTGGCGAGCCTGTGCAGTATGGTTAACCTGAAGCAGGCTAAACCGCCCTGCGAAAAGACAATCACACCCACACACTAAAAATGTAACACCCATAATCGTGTTAAAAGGGTATAAGAAGGGTGTAAGTTAGGCAAAACACCCTTTTTACACGATTTCTGAATATCGGTGGGTGTAAAAAGGGTGTGCTGGCGTTTTACACACCTTACACGCCCTTTTTACGCCCCACTTGTAGCGATGGTGCCTGAATTCGTGTAAAAAGGGGTGTATGGGCGAATTGTACGCCCTTCATTCACACGGTGTGAAAGGGGTGTAATGGTGGTGCTGTCAAATACACCCATGATTTCATAGCCGTTTATGTTTACTGCTTTGGTGAAACTGAAAAAAAAATAGTTAGGGCGCAGGCGAGCTGGTGTAAGTTTACCATTTTTAGACTACCTGAGACTGGTTGGAAGAAACACGACGACGTCTCAAACGTCGTCGTGTTTCTTTCACCTAGTCTCAGGTGGTCTAAAATGGTGAAACTGTAGCTGATCTACGGCTGTACAAACATCGAGTATAATTATTCACCGCACGAAGCCGCGTGTGATTAGGAAGTGCTGTAGAAAAGTTTTTGCAACTCCGATTGAACTCTCCGCCCGACACGAAGCGAAAATTACGTGTCACGCGTGCATCAAATTTATCACTTCAACTTTGATTAAAAAAAAAAAATCATCTTCGCTCGCAAAAGAATGAACGAAGGCGTGTAAATATACAACCCAGGCAGCACACAGTACTGCGCCGTTATGGAATTAAATCGGAAAAATTGCGCCGATACCATTTTGGTCTAGCCAATATTTGTGAAAAATGGGATGGGTCGCGCCGACGCCATCATGACATAGAGTACGGGGCGCCGTTTTGGTTAAAGGGCAACTCCACTCAAAAAGTCGACCCTATCGAGATGACTGGACACGCTTTAGGAGGTCAAAATACGGTCATACCCAAAATATCACGTCAAACCGACGCCGCGTTACCGATTAAAACCAATATTAAAAATGTTCTCCCGGCTCGGTTAGCGGCCCGAAAGCGGGTGAGCAACGCTGGCACCGGGTGAGCTAGTGAAGCCACACTGGGCAATGACGTAGTTCTAGTCCTACGCTCTCGTACGGACGCCGCGAGCGCTTCGTTTCCCGTGGCATTCTGCGATTCTGCTGACAGCACGAGGTGTTTACCACATTATTTTGTGTTTCTCTATTTTTATTAGCCTCCAGGCAGTTCCTTCAACTCCAGCATTGCTTCCGCAATAGCGCGGAAGAGAGCGAAGCGGTGCCCCTCGCTCACGCGCGCGTCGTGGAGCCGAAGAGACTTGCCGGACTCGCGTTGGGCAATGTTGAGCAGGATTTGTAGTGCTCTGGGTTGCACAAACAACCCGGTGCGCAACCCGGAGCTGCGGTTCCACCAGTTCTCAAGAGACCGGAAGTGGCACAAGGTGTGGGTCGGTGCCGTTCGCCGGATAGACTTCGGAAGACCGTTGACTCCGAGCTCCAACGCGAAGCTCTGCTCCCAGCACTTTACGTCAGACACCTACACACGGGATCTGCGGCTGCTGACTGTTGCGGGTTTCTCCACGAAACAGGCGCCTTTGAAGAACGATGCAGTGCCGTCGCTGTTCGCGTACCGTCCGCCGGCTGCTCAAGCACGATCGGCCGGACGCAGCAGGTCGCGGCTGATCTAACTAGCGTGCACATAAAGGCACCTTAGCTTAGCAACTTAGACCACTTGAGGATAGATCTGTCCATCTATCTCCCATTATTTCTTTTTCTCTCGGTCCGCGAGCAAAAAACAAATAGCCACGCTGCGCCGGCACAGACCACGTCATATTTATAGCAGTCGGATTCGCTTTTCGGCCGGCAAATTTATAAATACACACTAAAACTTACTACATTTGGTGCATATTAACAAAGCAAAGCGGTAAAGAAAGAAAAATGTGCATCTAACCTTGTGTTTTGAAACTCCACGTGCGATTGAGCCGACCTTGTCGGCGCGTCGGCTCAGAAGCGCGGGAGCTCATGCCGACGACGCGCCACTAGTATCAGTGTTGCCAAGCTGCTTTAACCGGTAGTTTCGGTTTCGCCGTGCCGCCGGAACGATACTTGGATTCCCGATATCTACAAAACTATGCACACTACCAAAAAACAAATTATATCTCGTGATTCAGGGCCGCCGGCTTCGACTAAACAGATCATAAACCAAAAATTGTAAATATGGAGTGGAGTTGCCCTTTAAGCGTCAAGAGTGTCCTGCGTGAATCGGCTATGCCGGCGAGGTATTTCTATTTTTTTGACTGCCTAAAATCCGACGTTACAAAACAAAACAAAACAAGATTAAGCAAAATGGAATCTGCTTGCTTTAGACCTGAGAAAGGCCTCCTGCGCTGAAGATTTGAACAAACTGTGGCGCCCGCATTTCGGGTATTACAAACTCACCTAGATGGGTTTCGCACTACTTATAGCACCTTCACTGAGATTTTATTTTTGTGTGTACTTTAAAAAAATCAATGTCGCAAGACGATCGAAAGTGCCGAATTCATAACACCCCCCCCCCCCCCCCCCCCTACGGAACGCGACTCTTTTCTCTGCGTGGGGACACCAAAATATCTATATAGTCGGTTGCAAGTCATGAAGGTAGGAGAAGCTCCTTCCACAAGCGTGATGCGCCCGTTTCAAATCTCTCCGCAATCGAAAGAAGAGTTCACTGGAAACGCTCCTTGTTCCGCTTCAATGGATTCCAACTTGTCTCCGATCCCACTTTTTTAAGAAAGCGACCTTTGTATTCATTGGAGGGGAGACCGAGCCCCTGAAAGCAGCCTTTGTACCCATCGGAGGGGGACGCTAATCCCCGAAAGTCATATTTGTTTCCATCGGAAGGGAAAAACTCTAATCTCCCTCTCGTGGCTTCCACAATGCTAAGTCAAAGTCGAAAGATAAAGTAAATATGTACAGAAAGGCAAGACCCTCCTCGCGCGTTGGCCGCGACGTCGCGGAAACGGCGGGACGCTATTGGATGCGGAGGTGGCGGAGGGATATCTGATTCCCTTTGAGGGGCATTTGCCGCTACCTTCTTAACCTGTAACTGACTATAGCGTCCCGACGCTTTTTTTTTCTTTCGGTTTTTCTTTGGTACACGTGAAACCGAGCCTCTTATTGTCTTGTGTACCCAGCGCCTTAGCTTTGTCCCGTGCTACGACGGCGTTAAAATTTGTTTTTTGTATTCATTTTATGATCTCGCGGTCCGCACCAGAGCATGCGCTCCTACATGAGTAGCAGTTTGATATGCTCAAGGCAGTACTACGCAAAGCAAGTCCTGTCGAGTCCGATTTCGCGACTTTCTCTGGGCAGTGCAGGTGGCAACACAAAGCGGCGGAGAGAGATTAGCTGCTTTGTCCAACCCCTTTTGACCTCGTGTTCTGATAAGCCTCAACACCTTCTTTTGTGTCTTCGTGTGGCTGTGAGCGAGTGCTAAGGCTGCTTCTAACAAATCAGAGGGGTGGCGCGAAACACGTGACCGCTCTCCGTAAAACAAAAACGCTTGGACGGAAATTTGTTACGTGACTCGCTCTGGCGCGCTGATGGGCTACTGGGGCCGTAGTCTTTGCCGTATGCCAAGTTATGGTGAGTCGTAGGGTCCACGTAAATCCGGTTTCCAAAAAGGGAAGGGGCGCCCGTCAGTGTGATTTTTTTATTAGAACGGCCGGAATGCATCCATGCCAACCTTTCGTTAATGGTCGTTTATTTCGTCAGAGTCCATGGAATTATTGTGCTGTGTTTGTTGGACGCGTTTCGACAAAGAGCTGCTCATCGGCGACCGCGAGACTTCCGTTGAATGTGAGCGACCGCCTTCATCCTCGACATTGTGTTTGTGGATTGTTCTGTACTGCCCGAATCGGATTATGCATCTATCACGGATTACATGAGATCGCTGTTTTATTCGTAAGTACTCTGCAAGCATGCTTCTGATAGTAGTCCTGCTTCCGTCTCAATTGACCATTTTACTGTTTACAAGCATGAACTGCCGCTTACGTCCCAAGCAACTCCCGGTCGTTCCGTCTTTGCAAGCCAGTCAGTTTTGCTTACGTCACCAGTGCTGGAAAGCATAAATGCCGCAGGAAAAGTGAAGTTGGAGATTTAACTAGTGCCTTTGGTTGTAGAATATTAAGAGGTTACGAAACAATATCCGGTTGGAATGTTCGTGACCTTACACACACGGACCGCCACTGGTGCAGAAGTGTCTTGGTCGTGGTGCAATTTCGAGGGTAAGAGGGAACTATTTTTTCAGTCTTGCCTTCGCCAAGTTTGATGACGTGCGCGTGAACGTAGCTTTGCCCTTTGGCAACCTTGTAATTGCACGCAGTGTCCGCATAAGCCGAGGCATGGCTGCGGTCAGATGACCTGCTTGCAATCGTCTAGAGAGAATTTAGTAGAACCTGGTAGAACCTTGATCGAAAAATAAAAAGTGAACCAAGCATGTTTAGACTCATTTGCAGTCATTTCTTCATGCACTAGTTTGCTTCACTTTCTTGTGGTGGTACACCCAATTTAGAGGGCGTACTGCGCAGTCATAACACCTCTATAAAAAGGTTACAGTGGAATCACACCTTAATTTAAGGGTGTTCAGAGTTACGCCCTCCTTTAGGGGTGTTAGGAATGACGCCCTTTTCTTAGGGCGTTTTGCTACACCAACAAGGGTGTTAGTTATAGAACAAGCCAATTACGCCCTCAAGGGCGTCATAATGTTTGTGTGCACTTTAGAGAATGGGAGACCGGGAAGGTGTATTCGGTACCCTCAAATGCGGAGCTGAATATATTAAGGCAAATCGGACGATGCGTAAACGACTGCGTATGAGGTCATCAAAATAAGGCTATATCAAAAGCTAATCATCTCACACATCCCATCGCTGTTTATGCGAAGAAGTTTTCTGAGTGCGCACCGAACTTCGGCAGCACCAAGGTCCTGGGAACGCATCCACAGCGATTTGGACGTAAAATCATGGAAACATTCTTCACCGAAAAAGCAAAAAGAACGTCTCATTTGCATCGTTATTCTTGACAAGACGTGAAATCAAATTTATCAAGCCGGAACTGGAAAAAGAGAAATTATAAACTTGGGCAGACACGGTATGGCGACAGTCCTTATCGGCGCTCCAGCAACCTCCTCTCCTTCAGTCCTCCCCCTTTCTGGTCAACGCGTGAATAGTTTGCGTCCATAAATAAACATCCGTCGTTGTTAGATCAAAGAGTGTGGTTGTCTGTGGAAGACCCTCCGGGTTTTATTCTTCTATTTTAGGTATTCATTATCACAACAAGCGCGTCTTAACCACCACATCGTTTTAAATAAGTCGTAAAAACTGACGAAGACTGTTGTATAAGAAGAATTAGAACAAAAGTGCAAGATGGCGTTGTGAAAGCACTAGAAACTGTAGGAATGCACTATCATAACAAAGCAAAAAAGCTTAAATAAATTTGGTATTCGTAATATATAACAAAACAAAAAGAAATCTGAAGACCCGATTTTTGAAAGAGCAGAATTTTGACATTTGAAAAAACAATGCTGTCCTCCTCAGTATCGCCCAGGAAGACCACACGCCAAATATTACGACGCAGTTCTGTCTAAATGTTTCTTAAACGGTCTGGCAAACTTTGCAACTCGCCAAGTTGCCGAAATCGGCTGACTCGAGCGGGCGAATTCAGGCGCAACCAACAGCGCAGTCAAGGCTACGGCATGGGCGGAGCCAACATTGAGCTAAACGTCATAATCATGGCCCCCCTTTTGCTTGTTTTTACTTCTCCGATCGAGCGTAGCGCATGACGTCAGCAACGTTGCCTCTCGGCGCTCAGCGGTGTCCACGTGATTGGCGTACGCGCCTGCGCAGCGCGCTTCTTGGGAGCAGACCAACCGCCCACCGTGGTCCCGCAGTTATCGCCGTCTTCCGCGTCACAACCACCGTCGTCGTTTCACCGTTTGCGATTATTGCCTCTCGGAGTTTCGTTAACACTATGGACACCACGTGCGCAGAGTCGCAGACTTATGCCGCAGTTGTGCAGACGTCGTCGAATGCCGTAGACACCAAAACGTGGCGAAGAGTGCAGTGCAGACGACACTCGCGCCTGCCGCACGCCGGCCCCCATTTCGCCCGTCGTTGGGCCGAGGATGACGTGACGTCTCGTACCACGTGATGGCCATGTATTGGCAGCCCGAGGCCAATGTTGCCGGACGGAGCCGAAGTTTCGGTTTCGATTTCCGCTCGTGTTTAAAAATAGATTAAAAAATATATATCCCATTTTTCGCGAAGCAAACCACGTAGTGCTTTTTACTAGGGCTTTTTAATTCGAAATCACTCATTATCCCGAAATCTTCGGAATTGAGAGGAGTTGCCCTTTAAGCTGGTGTTAGTGACACCATTATTGAGTAAACATACAGTTTTGATTTTGCGTTTCTCATGCGGCGCGCTAGCTCGTCTGCTTTTTTGCGAGGGTTGCGGTGACGTTAGAACGCCGAGCTCTGATTAGGGAGTTTTCGTAGATCGTTTTCGCCGCCCCGTAACGCTCTCCGAACCCGCTACGATACCCGGAACTCTACAGTCAAGGCCATCGGCGCGCAGGCGCAGTAGTGGCTTCTTCGTTGCGGAGGGCTTAGCGGAGGAGAAAACGCGGTCTACGAAAACTCCCTATTGACTCCGATTGATGGATAGTGCGTAGACAGCGAAGCAAGCTGCGCCTTGAGGTCTACCCACTATCCTTCAATCATAGCCAATCAGCGCTCGGCCTTCTGACGTCTCCACAAAGCCTGCAAAAGAATCAGACTAACTTGCGCTCCGAATAGACCAATGAGCGGCTGCAACGTCACGCCGCTGCGGCGGCGGCGGCGCTGCTGTCTCTGCGGCGCAGGCGCAGACGCTTTTCTTCACGCGTATCTATTTTCTGCGCGCGGGCAGTGGTCACGCGACGAGTGGGCAAACTCGGTTTCGTTTGTAAACAGGGCGTTGTAGTATACTTGGAGATTAATGTTTTTTCTCCTCGTCTTTCCATTCAGGAAAACGGATGTGTCCCGGAGAGCTTCTGGCAACTGTAGACGTCTTCCTGTGCGTGACTACATTGCTACAGAAATTCCGCGTTCTTCCTGAGGAGGGTACCAGCTTCAGCGTAGCCACTGACCATTACACGGATCTGTTGGCAAAGAGACTGTGCTTCCTGTCTCGCCTTCCGGAGTGACGATTTTAAGCTGGCTGCATATTCCGGAAATTTATGTCCTTGATTAAAACGAAATTACGCAAGAAGAAAAAGCCTATCTATATAGGAGGGCTAGTTGACGTTCTCGTTGCCAGACGCCCACTGTCAGAAAATGTTCGTGGCGTGTGTAATTCTCTAAATAACTGTAATGCTTTCTTACCGCTTGTATGCTAATAAAGTGTAATCTCGACTAATATGTCTTCTACCGTTTTTTCAGGTTAACTTTTTTTTGGTCGTCTTGTTGTCTGGGCGTTTTATTCGGGGGCGGTGGTCACGAAGTTAGTTACAAATAGTCTCTACTCTAACTCCCCTAGGTTTGCTAGCGCGCTCGCAAATTGAAGTCTGATCTTATTTATTGTTTTATTTATTCCTCCTACAAAATGTTTATATCACCTTCTGTTTATGGCAGATTATTTCTCTTCAAAATAGGGAACGCAAAAAAAAAGAAGAAGAGAATCCTAATATTCGTCTTAGAGCTGCCCAAAGCCCCCAATCGCCGTTACAATTTACTACGAAAGACAACAATCGATAACGAAATTTCACACTATAGTGAGAAGGCAGGTAAAGCTGCTAAGACACCCTTGAACATAATATTATAAATACATAGGGCATTTTATACCTTCTAGTTAACATTGGCCGCATCTCTGCGTCATCAGCTTTCTCCACATTGTCACCGGCACCCCCACTGCTGAGCGACGCCCCATCTATTCTCGCCGAGTATAACACGCAGTGTTTTCGACCTCCTGTAGCCCAGCGTGTACACCGCTAATACATCGTACGAAAGAACCGTCTGCAGACACTAGAGAGTTTTAGGGAACGGTTTTTGCACTTCCGATATGGTACAATGGGCCCTCCGGTACGAGCTGCGCATGCGCCACCACTGAAGACTCGCACATGCGCATTGCGTACTGGAGGGCCCATCGTACCGCATCAAACATGAAAAAAACGGTTCCCTAAAACCCTCTACTAGGGAGTTGAGATAACATCTTATTTAAACTATCATCGTTTTTGTAAAAAACGATGATAGTTGTAAAAACAATCGTCTAATTGTGTTTGTAAAAAATATGTTGTTTGGCGTGTACTTTACATATAATTTGAAATATTAGTTTCGGGAATATATTAGGAATCTAAAAATATTATAAACGTTTTATTCATTTGTTTTTACTTAGAGCAAACATATGTACGAGAAACGTTTACAAGAAGAATTTTCATTGGTAACACAGAAGACGATCTCCCAATCTGACACAGTCTTATTGCAGTCTAGGTCCCGAACGAATGAGATTTCGGTGTAGAACCCCAGTCCGCGTAAATTAGTCCTGAGCCCTTCGCTGAGGCGTCCTAGGTACGATCGGTTTGGCCCGTCAGCCTTAAAAAGATGCCATTTCATTTTCATTTTCATCAATTCCCTTTTATTTTATACTTTTAAAGCTTTTATTTTATTTAAACATTTTATTTAGTCTTCATTTTGATACACTTTATGATTTTTTGAGGCCCTCGTTAATCGTTTTCTTTTTCTTGTACGTGTGTAGTGCTGTGAACGCAACTACTAGAAACACGCTATGTTTTTCTTAGGGCTGAAAAATCTTGTGCGTCAAGTCGTGTTGCTTTATTGTTCTTTTGTTTTTTCGTCACTGCACAAACTAACAACCCCCGGCTTTTGGGACACGAACGGAGCCACAAGCGTAAGCTTCAAACCAGGTGGAACTTGGAATGTTTCTTTTATTTTGGACAGAAAATGGGATTTATCTGCCGGGCCCCGAAAGAGTCTTGAAATATTGTCCAAAGACTGAAAGCAGGCTACCCGTCACAGCTGTGCTTTCCTCGAGCTTTCACTCAATTGAAGATTAGTGTTATTTCATTAATCTTTTTTATAGATAAATTGTACTTTTTACACAGCTCTGAAGTTAGTAAGAACTTTTAATAAACTACATTCAGTTCTTGCATTAACACAGTTAAAGCAGGTATGTATAGCTAGTGCAGAGACGAACACATACATTTATGTGTTGATGAGGGCACGACAGAAACAGTTTCGTTTGGTGAGCCGTGTAACTCCTGGATGTTGGAGTTTGTCGAGATGTAAAACAAAAACGAATTGCACGTTGTCTATAATTGTGCAGCGATTTGACAATCGGCCTTTGAGGACCGAGAAACTGTTTCAACACCGTGGCAAGACAATTGAATTGGCACAATGCGATTGCTAATCCGGAGTCTTTAAGACTAAACGGCCTGACGCTAATACGATGCTCGCCTGTATGGCAACCTGTACCCGCCTACGTCTAACTTGGCAGTGATGATGTCTGAACAAAAGATCGCTGGATTCGAAAGCGCTAGCATTTTCTCATGTGGAACTACATTTGTGTGTTCTTCTTCTTCTTCTAATTATTATTATCCTAGGCGCTCCGATATACTCAAAACTTGAATTTGTAATTCAGTTTACGATTTCGCTATCCACAATTATTTTATATCGCTGACTGTCATTTCTGCTTAATTGCATCTCGGGATGGTTTACTTGAGCTGACAGGGCCAGCGTACGTGAAATGGATACAGTCATCTGGTTAATATGGACCCCGCTAATATAGTAGATAGCCCACTATATGATAATGAGGCCTGAGTTTTTGATGGATGAAACTACGGATTAATCAGTTAATGCTTTCATCTCGATTAATTTATTAAGCGGTTGATCAGTAGCATTTTGAAAGACAAAGAAAAGTAAAAATCCAACGCTTTCAACACGCAGACATGGACGAGTACACCTGTATGAAAGCAAACTTTAGGTGAAATTTTCATCTAAAGGAAACTGTACTGTAAGGGCGAGATCTGTAACTCCAAACAAGTGGAGAAGATATTATACGTGTCCGAGCCATTTAAGCGTTGTGCGAACGTTTGTTTAGCCCAGCAGAGACTATTGTGAATAATCAGAGGAGTTCGCTATTCGCAACTTTCAGCGATGGTGGTACCACGGTGTGAAAATCACGCTCCCTAGCTCTTCGATGATCGGCTTTCTAATTAAGGTGCTTGCCAAAGCGTTCCTGGCATGAAAGAAATAAAGTAAGGCTCTAATACTGCTCGTATAACGCAAAAGCAGAATTATTTACGCGACGCAGACCCAGCCTCGTTCCGCTCTTCTACGACCATCATCCAGATGACAGCCATTTTGATAGGTGCCAGCGCGCCCCCTATATGTGGTATTCACTGGACGCCATATTTAAGGTAACTGCTCACAGCGCATGCCCGGGAACAGTTTCCCGTCAAGTCTCGGGCAACCTCAAGAGAAGAGGAGAAGGAAAAATGTTCTTATCGCCGGGACTTTCCTTTGTATGTCCCAGGCTTCCCCAGACGTCGCTATTCTTCCTCTAGATGATTATAGAAGATTAACTTCCTACTCAAAATTCGTACAAAAGCATCTTTCCCCTCTCTCCCTCTTCCCCCGTGGTAAGAAAGCAGCAGCGAGCTCAGCTATAACCGCCAGTGAATACTCCCTATAGGTCCTGAAAGTCGCGAATTGCCGGACAACATCAGTGAACTTTTTAGCCTCTTCTCCTGAAGTAAATATTTGTGAGTGTGGGTCGTTTGACTGTTCTCGACTACATTTAAGGGTTTATTTAAGATTTGAAAGTGTACATTTTTCCTCTTATCACCTATCGAGGGAAAACAAAACAATTAATTTTAACTTAAAAAAACTGTTATGCATGATATTGAACGAAACCGATTAGTCTATAATCAAATGAGGGGTGGCGATTAATAGGTTGAACGTTTTTAATAGACTCCCAGCCCTAACATTGATAAAAAAAAAGTGAAAGCCGTTTACAACTCTCTGTAACGCCAAATTAGAGCGCAGCTTGAGGAGGAGTAGGGAAGGATACTGAGGGGGGCTCATTTGACCTCGGGGGGGGGGGGGGGGGTCACGTGATCTCGGGGGAAGGGGGCACGTGATATCGGGGGGGGGGGGGGGGCGTGTCACGTGACTTCGTGGGGGGGTCACGTGAACCCCAGGTCACGTGTCCCCCCAGAGAAATTTTTTCGCTAGATTTAGCGGGAACATTTTTCCTCTAAATCTAGCGGAAACATTTTTCCTCTAAATCTAGCGGGGAAATTTTTTCTCTAAATCTAGCGGGGAAATTTTTCCGCTAGATTAAGCGCGGAAACTTTTCCGATAGATTTTGCGGGGAAATTTTTCCGCTAGATTTAGCAGGGAATTTTTTCCGCTAGATTTAGCGCGGAAATTTTTCCGCTAGATTTAGCGGGGAAATTTTTCCGCTAAATTTAGCGGGAAAATTTACTCATAATGCACCGCGCGCCGCGCCGACGGCGACGCCGACGCCGACGCCGTTCAAGCCGGAAACGGGCGCCTAGGAGCTGCGCTCTAAAATTCTGGGGCGAACTGGTTAAATGCATGCATTTTGTCCTGTTATTAAAAAGAGCTCACATTATAAACAACCTTGGGGAAACGGTCGGTGTCCGTAATAACGACACTTCACTGAATTACCATCTTGCGCTTGAAGGAGCTTAATTACTAGATCATGATGACTAGTGCTTTACGAACTGGCCATGAAGCAAATGCAAGCAATCTTCTGATGTGGTCATGTGCGAGATACAATCGCAAGTCAGTCCCCCCTCAGCACTAATTACCCGTTTTACCTGGGATATCCCACAATATGTAAGGAGCAAGTGGTACAAAATCCTAACAACAATATTCATTGTATTTAAGGCTGCGTTCTTCAGTTCCACCAGACCGTGCTGTACGTTTTTAGTCGATTCCTTAATGCTTAAAAGTTAAGATAAACATATCAACCGCCGTATTGTAATAAAACAGGAACAGAAAAAAAAAGTACAGACTCGGATTGTAATTTTATCTCAATCTTTTCTTTTAAAGAAACATGACAAACAAAACTACTCTAAAAAGCTCACAGTAAAAAAAAAAAGACTTATTGCCATGGCGTTATTCTTCACGCCCGGCAAAAAAAAGAAAAACAAAATTCCTGGCTACGCCCTGTACCATTGCGAGAGCCCGACATTTGCTCCATTTGATTAGTGTCATTTAAATATTCAATTCCTATAACTCGCTGCAACTGTGATTAGCTCAAGGTGTTTGAGAAAGGAAGGGTAAGAGTTTCGTCAATGACACGGCATAATATGATACGCTGTAGATTATTGTGCGACTTTAGACCTGATCGAAACTCCTAGCCAATCATCA